TGTGGGCCCTTTAGGCCACCTTCTATTTTGGGCACAGAAACATCCATGTCACTCTTTAATGATGGCCCTTTCAGGCTCAAGTCAACATCTGGCACAGCAACTTTAATTGGCGATGTTTTCAAGGAGGGCATTGAGATGTTTGGACCTTTTAATGGTCCACCAAAGTCAACACTGGTGCCCTCAATACCCATACTAGGCCCTTTCAAATCCCCTTCAATCTTTGGCCCTGAAATATGTGTAGCTGCTTTCCCTTTGGGACTTTTCAGGTTCAAGTCAATATCTGACATCGAGATTTTAGGTGTCTGTCCATAAATCTCAATCCCCCCTTTTGGAATACTGATATCTGCTGCAGGGCCTGAAACAGAAAATTTAGGAAAATCCATGTGGGGTATTTTAAATTTTGCTTCACTGTCTTCAAATCCAATGTCTGGAGCCCCAAGATCTACCTTAGGCGCTCTGATATCCACTTTGGGCCCTTCCAAGGATGAAGAAGTAACTTTCACCCCACCTTTCAAATCCAGTCCTTTTATACCCATATCCAACTTTGGTTCTGGCATTCCTATACTTGCTACTGGATGCTTGGGGCTTTTTTGGAATCCTCCTGGGCCTGTGATTGTCACTGATGGAGCTGTTGCATCAAGCTGAGGAACCTCAATGTCAGCAACTGGAGATGATATACCAAATTTGGGCATTCTCACTGCAGGGAATGCAAGTTTTCCTTGGCTTTCATCACTGACACCTGGACTTGTAATCTTGCCTTCAATTACCTTTACGCTAGCATCTTGCAACCCTCCCAAATCCCCTTGCACTTTAGGACCTTTGATATCAAACTGCAGTCGTTCCCCTGTTTTCCCATTGATTTCAGGCCTTGTGAAGTCTGTCTGGGCTCTCACATCTACACCCATGACATTAGGGACTCGGATATCAGTTTTCCCCACCTTTGGCTGCCCCACAGGGGAATCAGGAACACCTGCCTCCAATTTTCGGGAAGGCAAGTCAATAGTTGGTCCAGAATATGTAACATCGTAAGATTTCCCTCCTTCGTGGGAGACTTTTCCATAGCTGGGTCTCCCAGGCAAATCCACACGTGGAATCTTGATGACAGTTTTCCCAGGCTCTGTTTCAATTCCAGCTTTAGAAATCTGGGTAAGTTCATGTTTAGGAATTTTGATCTTAAACTCAGGACTGGTGATGTCAATCTCTTTGGCGCCTTCATGGCCGGTGACATCGACAGTGTAAGCTGTGACTCTTTTGGTGACTGTGATGGTCCTACTTTGAGTTCCTCTGTGCTCAACTTCTATCCCATCTTCTGACTTAAGGCGAGGCTTAATCTTTGTTGTGTAAATCCGCTGGTACTCTTCATCATCTCCACTCTGAAAGGGAAAGGAATCGTTTCATCAACTTTCTCTCAATTTGCTGCTCTTCCACAAGGGAATCACCGATATCCGTCTTTGTCAAAGCAACACCCCAAAATGTCTTCCAGGGACAAGTCTCATCATTTCATCTCAAATATGGTTGCTCACCTCAACTGGAGTTCTACACTTTACAATATTGGAACACCCCCTGAGCGGGCATCTCTGCCAATATTGGTTCTTGTCTTTCTGGGCAGTTCGGTTGGAGAATTTTAGCTTTGCAGAGGCTTGGCAGCACAAGGGGCCTCAAAACAAGGGAGCAATGGCCTATTTTGATGAGCACTTGAGATCTTTTCATCTCCTTATTGGAGACTGCAGCCCCCCTCCCGCAACGTATGAAAACACTGCCCACTTCTCACCTCCACTCATAAAGTGTGTCTCTCCACTGACATTCGGATCTTACCTTGTACCAAATCTGCAAATACATCGTAGCTAGGTTCAAACAAACATGTGCAACCCGAATCCAGGTTAGCCAAATACAAATTAGTTCTGAGGTCAGGCTTAACGGGATGAGCTGGTTCCCCCAACAGTCAAAGACAACACCTGGGATCCCACAATACACTAGACTGTCACAAGTTCTTCTCTGAACCACAAGTAGTCAAACTGACCCAGACTCATAAAGACACAAAGCAATGGAAACGTGGATGGTTGGCTGGTTTTTTGTACCTCCCTTCCATGGCTGGGGGAGACTTACTTTACATAAAACAAGGAAAGCTTACCAAAAAAAGGAACTGTAAATTATAAATGCCTTCAACTCTTTCAGAAACTGCTATCTTACTACTAAAACTATATTCCATTTTAACTATTTTTTAGGCTTGGTTTCTATACTATATTCTTTAAAGTCCAATTTCACTGCATCTCCCTATTTTTCTATTCTGTACATCTACAATATTTGTTTATCACTGACCTCTATTTCTTTTGTCTTAAACCCTACTTTTCCCTATTGTTGCTCTCTATAAAGCTATACAGGTAGTCCTTGAGTTATGACCACAATTGGGACCGGAACTTCCATCACTAACCGATGTGGTCGTTAAGTTAATTGCACCCAATTTTACGACCTTTTTTGCTGCGGTCATTAAATTAATCACGTGATCATTAAGTGAATCTGGCTTCCCCCATTGACTTTGCTTGTCGGAAGCTTCCTGGTGACACAAGGACGTTGCAACCATCATAAATACATGCCAGTTGCCAAGTGCCTGAATTTTGATCACGTAACCTGAGGGACACTGAGATGGTTGTAAGTGCGAGGACTGGTCATAAGTCACTTTTTTCAGCACCATCGTAACTTCAAATGGTCATTAAATAAATTGGCATAAGTCGAGGACTACCTGTACTCCCTTTCTATTTTTTTTTTCAGTTTCTGTTTTCTATTTCTGAAGTCTTGTCTTTTTCTTCAACTTCTTCTGCTTCTTTCTTCCCAGCTCAGATTTTGGGTTCTTCTCCCAGAATCACTGGGAGTCAGGTGGCAAGGAAATTATTATGGTTGTTGCAGTGTCAGCCACACGTTTAGACTGGATTTGGTATTTTTGTCCACCAATCGAGTCCTTCCCAAGGGCCTGTGACAGGCAGATGTATTCTCCTCCTCCTCCTCCTCCCTGGAAGTCAGGTGGAATATAAATTTAATAATTATAATTTAATAATGTAATTAAATTTAATAATTTATATTCCACCTGACTTCTAACTCTTGGCTCCAGCTGAGGGAAACTTTTCTGATCTGAGAAATCTGAGAACGGTCTGAGAGAAGCAAAAATGCCTCTCTGCCCCGTTTGTTTCAGCTGCCGCCTCCTTTCCAGGTTGCCTCTTTTCCGCAGGGCTGCCCATCCTTCAATTTTTCTCTTTATCTTGATGTCTGGGTTTTGGCTCCGTTTATTGAGCCTCTTCTTCACGAGGGCTGTGGCTGCAGAGCTCCCAGGCAGCCATCTTGTCCTTCCTCCTCCTCCCCGCCGCCCAACGTGGCTGTTTGATTGGCAGCTGCTGTTTGATTGGCAGCTGGGTCGCCCTGATGATGGGGGAGAGCCGAGGGGAAGGACGGCGCACCGAACTTGGAATCTGCTCAGGCCGTGGGGCACAAGCCATGCAGCCCCATTTGAGACTTGCCTTGTGCAAACTCCAGCTTCTGGCTTCACACCTGCACCCAGCTGGATGCTCCTAATCTTCTTAGCCACTGCAACTGACTTACACTCATTCGGATTAATATTGGTGCCAGCCACCCACAATTTGATATTTGTCACTACCAATCACACTATCACCGGCTAAATGGGATGAATAAGCAGGAGAAAAATGCTCCTCTTTTTTTTCCTGAGTTTCTGTGTAATCTGAATCTGGTTATTATTTATGCAAAAGATCTACAAATCTATGTTTGTCACTTCCAATCATACTATCCCCAGCCAACACAGATAAATAAATAGGAAAAAAAAATGCTCTTCTTTGTTCTCTGAGTTTCTCTGTACTTTTACAGACTTAAAAAAAAAAGAAAGAAATTGCATGGGCAAAAAATATATATATTTTACATGGGCAGCCTGTGCTCCTGGCTCCTACCTAGTGCCAAGCAGAGCCCCTCCCCCAATGAGAATGGAAGCCCCTCTTTTGTCGCTGGGGGGCTCTGAATCGAGGCTCACCAAACCATTGCAGTCACTGGGGCTTGAAAGGAGCCCTCCTTCCTGGAACTGGTCCATCTTCAGCCTGTCTTTCCCAATTTGCTTTCCCCTCCCTGGCTGTTAAATTGCATTAAACCAACTTTTTCCACAACTATTCGCAGGAACTGGAGCAAACTGGGTATCTAATGCTCTCGCTAATTAAACCCTGGTGCAATTGCAAACTTGAGAACGCTTGTCCTGGAATAAGTAAGACACCAAAGACCAACAGGGTTGACATTGAGCTTATTCAGTTCCTTAAATATCCCCCCCCCCCGCCAATTCTTCCATTCTTCTTCTTCTGCCACTTACTCACCAAAACAACTTCTGGACTCCCTGGAGCAAACACATCGTAGGAGCCAGTCTGCCCTGGCAACGGAGAGCGGGCTCCTTTCCTCTGCAGCCGCAAGCCCACCGTGTGATGGCCCACGTTTTTAAGGAGCTCCGTGACCTCCCCTGAGTGCACGTTGTCAAAGTAGATGGTGGCGCTCACAATCTGGTCTCCTGGAAAAAGAGAAC